TGGTCAAAAGCTGTTTTTATCACTTGAGAAACATTGCTGAATTGAGGCCAATTTTATCAAATTCTGATCTTGAACTGGTGATTCATGCTTTTATTTCATCTCGTTTAGATTATTGCAATTCTCTTTTTACTTGTATCTGTTCTAAATCGCCTCCAACTGGTTCAGAATGCTGCAGCACGGCTTTTAACAAGGTCCAGCAGACGGACTCACATTATGCCGGTTTTGTGCTCCCTGCACTGGCTCCCCATTAAATTTCGAATAGATTTTAAAATACTAGTTATGACTTTTAGAGCCTTGCGTGGCCAGGCCTCTAAATATGTCTGTGATCTGCTGTGGCCCTACTCCTCTGGTCGCACCCTTCGGTCCTCGGGCCAGAACCTCCTCATGGTCCCTAAGACCCGCTTTAAAACCAGAGGTGACTTGTTCTTTCAGGCTGTTAACTGTGGAACGCCCTTCCTCGGTCCCTCCGTGAAACAGACTCTGTTGAGTCGTTTAAAAAGCAGCTGAAGACACATTTGTTGAGACAAGCTTTTAGTTGATAGGATTTCTGTTGGCTTGCTTTTATCTACATTATGTACCTTATGCTGTTTATACTATGTTGTCTTGTGTGAAGCACTTTTGATTTTTTCTGTGAAAGGTGCTATGTAAATAAAAATCTTCTTCTTCTTTGGGGGTATTTGATTGATTAAGACAGATGAAGAGATACAGAAGAAGTGGGAGTGGAGAGTTAAGGGCAACATGCAGAGAATCACCATGAGCTGCAAGCAAACCCAGGATACTGCATCAGGGACTGTAGCCCTTTTACATGGGATACCTGCTTGTCCAGGTGAGCTATAGTGGCACCTAGATGCTGCAGGTATTTAACAAACTCAGAGGAAACCCTCCTACACACAGCTGGAAGCAACAAACTGAACAGAGATTCTGTTAATGACAAAAAAGTTCTCATGGATTCTGATCCAGACTGATCCTGTCTCCATGTCGGGGACAATTTAGAATTACAGTCGTTACCTGTTGTTTTACGTGCTCAAATGCATGCAACTCTCCTGCTTTGGAGGTGGTTTCTACTGTCTGATGCTGCAGGTATTTAATAAACTCAGAGGAAACCCTCCTACAAACAGCTGGAAGCAACTAAACGTGAGCTGTGCTGTGATTTTGGAACACAAATGGTGTATTTTGCTCTCCTTTTGGACCAACAGCGGTGCTGAAATGTGCAAAATCCTTCCTCTAAATCACTTCACACAACTCAAAGCAAAGTCTCTTGTCAGTGCCTCCGTTAATGTGCAGTTCAGACGTGTGCTGTGTTGACAGTGAAATACTTCTGGGTGCAACCACGTAAAATGATTTTTACGGAAAAGCGAGCAGGCTGTTCATTAACCGGCGCGTTCAGGTGCCGTCCGATTAACAGAAAGAAGTCTGAAGGGGGTTTAGGGCACGAGAACAGAGAGCTTTTCTGCACACTTCATGGTCCATCAGCAGATTTCATTCCAGCCAGCGAACTGGCCTCACCTCTTCTGCTCCGCCGGCGTTTCCGGAGGAGTTAACAGATTTGAGCTGGGAGCTGCTTCGGGGGTTTTGGGGTCTGAGATGAAGCCGAGACAATGAATCGTGGGTCCCGTGTCAGCGAGCAAACGCTGATAGATTATAGAGGGTGATGAATATTTGATGGCCGATCTTCAGCAGGAAATCAAAGCGCCACGTCTTGGGGGATCGCCTCACTCTTACTTGTCAGGGTTAAAGACCCGCAGCGCCTTCGCTACGTCTCCACTGGACTGACACAGAAGTCATTTCCACGACAGCCGCTCTGCCTTCCTGCTGCTTTTTGCGAGACGGGCAGCAAATAGGATGTTTACGACCCTGCGCGCCTCGTAATGTGCAGCCAAATTGAATCACTCTCAGTGTAGCATCATGTAATACACACAGGTATCACAGGTGATTTCTTGCTCTCTGCCTCCACGTGAAAAAGCCATTTCAGAACCGAATCACACTTCAGCATGAAATTTAAATTGCGGCTCTCAGAATGATGCAGCAAAGACACTTTAGTGACTTTACCTCCTCGCCCAGCTGCTTCGAACGACGGCCGAACAATGTAACAGAGCAGCCACCTTGGTGGGCAACAGAGAGCAGATGATATAAGAGATGAGGGCTAATGACAGAGATTGGTAGTGACACAGTGAGACAGCTGTGTGCCGGAGAACCTGATTTACTAATGCGCTCGGTGTAATACTGTATATCCTGACAGCAGCGCGAAGAGGGCTTGTGGGTAAACCCACCCGGGTTTCTCCTTCGTTTCCACCTCTCCTCTCATTACAGGCCATTACATGATGACACTGACGGCTTCCTGCTAATCAGCATTTACGCTCCTGCAGTGTTTATCAGAACTGGTAAGCCGAGAGTGGTCAGCAAAGTAAAGCAGCCACAGTCCACGTGACAAACACACTTTGTATTTCCCCTGACAGGAATCATGAAATATGTTGCTGCACAGTCTCAGAGTTTAGTTATTTAAGGCCTGAAACTAAGCTCAGTAGAATGTTTTGTCTGAATTGTTGAGACTTTTATGTTTTCAGACCTGATCGTTTTTGTTTTCACCCTCGAAATTACACGCCTAAAGGTTCAATATCTCCAGAAATATAACTCCCACAGCTTTATATGTTGGTAAATGTCAACACAAAGACAACATGGAAGCAACTTGGAACTTTACACACACAACAACAATACATACACCCCAATGAACACCATGTTTTATGCTCATACCAACGATCCCACATCAGCATTTTGTCAAACTAGCAAAAAAACTGGAACCTTGTCTTGTCATTCTTGCCAAATATCAAATTCTGCTGATGTTAGAGCCTCGAAAGTTGGTGAATGTCAATCAAAGGCTAGATTTTACACCCATATAAATACACTTACAGGAGCTTTCTCTCGCCCCAATAACACTTTCATTTGAAAATTTTTACACCTTTTTTCCATTTTCAAGGGCCGATAATTAAAAGTTTGGCCTCTGCCGGAGTCATTCGATCATTTAGATCTCCTGGGAACTATTCCGTCTGTGTCCTCGATATATTTTATGGCTGTGCGAGTTTTATTTCTGGAGATATTGAACCCTGAAAATGGCTTCTGAGGCAAGACGTGGGTTTTATTTTTAAAGGGTGAAAAGACAAAAATTCCCAAGTTTGAAAACACACAAAGTTCTCAAAATTCAAACATGTCGCAGAGCTTAGTTTTGGGTCCCAAATAACAAGTAGGTAAAAACTATGAACTAAATCAGAGATAATGGATCGACACTAATATCTGACATGACCAAATACATGATGTGTTCTTTAACAAGTAGTTTTAACTCTTCGCTGAAGCTGCTCTGTGTTTAAAACTTGTAGAATTCATTTGCAAAAACAGAACGCTCCATTTTTGTAGACTTATTTTTTGTTGTTGTTTGCTTGAGATCAATCAATCAAACTGAAGCTGACTCAGTAGAAATGACAAAAATAGAGACAACTTAAGTTTGATTGATATTGTCTCAGGTAGATGATGGGAAAGTGGGTTTTCTGAAGGTTTGTGAGGATCTGTTTTTGCAAATGAACTCTTCACTTTGAAATATTCATAAGATGGAAACATTTTGCAGATTTTTCACACTTTTCTCCCAAATCAAGCCTGAAATATTTGTGAATTTAAACTCTGCAGGTTTTAACAACAACACTGGCCGCTGCTGTTTCAGGCCCAAACATCAGCAAACAGTCGTGAATTCAACACAAAAACTGAAAACATGAACTCGTCCTTGTTGAATTCTATCAGTCGGCGGCCGCAGACACCTGAGAAATTCTCTGCTTTGGGTATTTCCTTACCTTTCAATCCCAAAGCTGGTCTTAGAGCAGCTCTGGTCCTCTGTCCTCTGCTCAGCGACCTCCACCAGATTCCAGATACCAAAACTTAGATTACTCATTACGGCTAACAAGCCGGCGTGAATTATTCAGCAGTTGTCACTGTAACGTGAGACAATACGGATGGAAGAAGCCGGGGCGGCTGCATCCAAAAGCCCTGGCACAGATTTCAGGTAAATAATGAGGTGTAGGACGGGCCGCTGGATCGCGTTACACTATAACTGCTGCGAGGTGATCACAGATAAGAGCGCAAACCCACTGACAAGACAGTTTTCCTATCAGCGTCAATTGCAAACCTGAAAGAGCAAATGAAATTCCACATACGTTACGGGTTGGGGGGGAAATTAGCTTTTTCCTCTGAGTGACGTTTCTAAATTGAATCCACCGAGCTGTTTAGGATGTATGTATCTTTGCTGTCCTAATGACCTGTGGGGGGGCTCTGAAGGCAAATAAATAAATAAATAAATAAATAAATAAAACACTCCCCATCTCAGCGTGGGGATAATTCAGTTCATATTTCCTGCAGGTGCTTTGCTCGGAGCTAAAGAGGGGAGAAGGAACTCTGTCTTTGGAGACAAGCAGTCGTAGTAATTTCATGGCACATTGGTCCGTGGAGTGCTGAAATATATATATTCTCTATTGTAGTTTCTAATAAATTCAGTTAAGCAGGACTGATAAAAATGATTCAGTACAACATGCCTGCACAGTTTTATATCAATAAAAGCAGTAAAATGTGAATAATTGAGCCAAATCAGTCAGTAATATAGCTTTTTCCTGCTTTCTCTTTACTTAAATGTCTCTCTTTCTGTTTGGACTTCATCGAGCTCTGCATTTGTTTTCCAAACCACACATTCAGTGCTGCTCTTCAGCAGAAACACTCATCAGCTTTTGACTGCAGGAGGACGCAGCTTCTGCTCAGGAGGTTAACTTCCAAAGTTGGACTCAAAATGACACCAGAATACACTGAAACTCGTGTATAAATACAGCATTTTAAAAGACATGCAAGTCATAGTTCCCATCGCAACCCCATCGCTGCAGATTTAAGCTCTAAACAGCCACATTTTTGTTGCTGCAGTTCTTTTTTTTTTTGCGTATTTTGCGGATATTTACGCATCGCATGGCACCGACCTGCTCCAGGTGTTCCGGTCCGCCGCGTCCGAACAGCTGCAGCCTGAAACTTTGGGATGTTGTCGTGTCTCTCTCTCCGCCTCCTCCTCCTGCAGCTCCGCTTCTTCTTCTTCTGCTGCTGCTGCTGCTGAGCGTCGCGTCGCTCCGAGACTCGACTGGAAGCAGGCGGCGGCTCTTAAAGCTCCCCACCCAGCCAGGCCTCCCCCGGGGCGCGCAGCCAATCACAGAGGCAGCCTCGGCACAATCACACATACATAATTCATACACGACACAACTGTCTGCGGACATAAAGACACTTGACCGAAGGAGTGTTGATGGGACACAAGTAGGGAGACTCTCATGTTGCTGGATGTGAAATATTTGGAGTCTGTCGTTGCGCACTGAAACCCAGAAACACCAACGTGGAGGTTTACACTCTAAAAAGTAAAGCAAGAGACCTGAATGCATGGATGCGAGAGAAAATAGAGTCATGTACTGATTTAGGCAAACTTTTTAGGTTGCAAACATTATTTTGATGGTTTAAATTGGCACAATAATGTTGCATCAACTTACTATTGTTTGTAATTTAAGTTAAAATTTCTGTTTGTTGGTTTAAAACTAAATTCAACTTAATGAAATTCGCTCAATAACTAATAGCTACCTAATTAACATTGGAGCAACACAACTTTTTAAACATTTTTCCAAGTTAAAATCTGTTTTTCTTTGATTTATTTTGACATTTATTTGAAATAACGAGGAAATACTAGTTTGAACAAGTTCATTTTTATAAGTAATCAACTTAAAATCTTGTTTTTATGGATCTAATCATTTAAAAAAAAGTTGTTTTAACTCAAAAAGATTGATGACTGTTGCATTATTTTGTTGTTGAGTTCAAGCATTATTTTTTAGAGTGCATAAAAAATGGCTGCACATCCAGTGTGAATATGGAAGGTTATTATTTGTGTCTAGCTGATGAACATAGACGATAAATCGCTGTTTACTTGTGACTCTAATGCAGGAGTAACACAACACATGTCTCCGTCTACCAGCTAACGTGACTTCACACAAACAGACTTCCACTTTGCTCAGAACCGTTTGGTTCTTGGGTCAGACACAGTTCAGGCATTCAGAGTTTGCTCACTTGTTATTTGGGACCCAGAACGTATATATTTATATATAAATACACTCAGTGGAACTTTCTGGGGCTCCGGTACCACCAACCCTTTGTACTTTTTTCCATTTTCAAGGGCCACCAACTAAAGACTTGACCTCTGCTGGAGCCATTCCATCATTTCAATCAGCTGGAAACTATTCCGTCTGCGTCCTCACCAAAGTTTATGGCCGTGGAAGTCGTATTTCTGGAGATGTTGAACTCTTAAAATGGCTTTCCAGTTAAGGCAGGCTTTTTAGTTGTTGTTTTTTAAGGTTGAAAATAGAAAACTTTCCCATTCTGAGGACATAAAATACCAAAAATTCAGCCAAAGATGTTTTACAGAATTTAGTTTGTGCTCCCAAATAACAAATAAGCAAACTCTGAACAAAGTCTAAGCCATTGGAGCAACACCTTTACCTAGAATGACTTGTTTCTACAGCTTCTCCTCTGCTGCTAAAGTAAATCCAGAATAGGATCTTGCACCTGAAAGAGTCGTGTTTACTCCTTTATCTGTGTTAACATGTCCTCGTGGTGTTCAACTCAAAAATGGCTTCAAATGCCTCTGAAAGGTGATGACAATAAACAAATATGGGACATAATGAATCCTGGATATGCTGTAAATGGGAAATGTACAGAATATGCATTTGTTCATGATGAGTCAACTCAGAAGGAAACACATCTTCTATAATAAAACAGAAGACACATCATAAGCAGGGATTCGTTTTCCACCATGAACCTGCAGAACACTGATAGCAGCCTCAAAAACATGGATTCAAACTTCCAGAGTTTCATAATAACAAACTTAAGGAACCAACCCCAAGATGGAGCTTCCTGGATCATTATTCTTCTTTAGAATTGGTTTCAGATTCAAACATGTGGCTGAATTAGTCCAATACCACAACTTAGAGCAGTTTTACAGTGTCTTGGTGAGCTGGTGTGCTGAGCTGCAGAGTGGGATGTGTGGAGAAAGAGAGGCAGGTAGACATTTCAAGGCAGGACGGGGTTATTTTCATGCTGTGTAAATGTGTAACTTTAATACACTGAGATGGTTTTTAGAGGTTTAATCAATGAGCTACTTTTAAAGCTGCTGCCGGGCGATCAAGCGGAAAACTTTTCTCAAACTCCTTGATTAAGATCAGATGCTGAATCTCTAAATTGTCACATTGTTTTTTTTGTTCTTTTAATTTCATGCTCCAGTACAAAACTAATTCCACGTCCAGGTTAAACAGCACAGTCAGTCAGAGTGTAGGATCCCCCGCCAACATCTCTTCATTCCCTCCCAGCTACATGCCTCCTTCCTGTCTTCCTTCATTTCTGGACCTGCCCGAGCCCGGCCGGCCTCTTCCAGGTGGAGGTTTCCTTGTGGGGGAAGCAGCAGCATCTGTGCAGTCTGTTCCACCTGCTGCCTCGTCCATCCTGCTGCTGCCAGCGTCCCCAGCAGAGCAGCTCAGGGCTCCGGAGTCGTGGCAGCTGGGAAACGGGGGCAAGAAGGAGGCAGCAGATGTGCCCTGCATGTGGAAACGCCTTCCTGACATTTGTTTCTCGAGCTCTTCTGAGGGGAGCGCTGCTACTAGACAGGATTTCTTTTGTGTAAACTGGATCAACAAAACCTAAAACCCTGGTTAGAGATAATCGATGTCAGTCAGAGGTTTCATGATGGCAGTCGTCAGCTCTCTCTGTCATCCAGATTTTCTTCTTCAAACTGCACACTCATAAAATTCTGCATCATTTGTCTCCTATTCTTCACAAAGTGGACCAACTGCTGCGTTAATTAGGCGCAACAGGTTGTTGTAATTAAAAAGAAGAATACAAACATTTATTAGAGTAAAAAGCGCTGTTACTCTAGATTATATAAAGAGGGATATGCTGGTGGAAAACTCCCAGTCATGAGAGTCAACCTCACAAAAAATGGAATTTTAAATAAACAAAACCTTAATTTTATGTATTTTTAAAAAATGATTTACATGTGTAAAAACAATGAAATATGGTTGAATAATGTTAAAGTGCTATATTTTATTTATTTATTAGTTGGGTGTTAATATAATATACAACAGCAATTTTAAGTTTAAAAAAAGATACTAAAAAATATCAACTTGTTATTCAGTTTCTTTTTCAAATTTTAGATCATCAAAATGTAGTATGATTTTTTTTTTTGCATAAAAATCTTTATTCTTAATAAAAGATGTCTACATAAAATAATGGATTTCATTTGACAAAATGTAAATCCAAAATTATTAAGTATTTATGATGATAATTAAATTCCTAAACAGTTCATTTTAGATTATATCTATTATAATATGTGTTTTTGCACATATATTCAGTGTTAAAAAAAAGTATAAAATTAATGGATTTACCTTTGTAAATAATTAAAAAATATTGCTGATTATTTTCATTTCGGTTCATTTTAGACCATATTTTTAATAATGTGAATTTTTACATGTAACATTATTTTAAAATCTTTTATATTTGACAGATTTTTATTGTTTGAAAAAAGTGTGTCTAGAATTAATTGATTTTCTTCTGCAAAAATTTAAAACAAGGGTTATTAAAAAATAATAATACTTATGATTAAGCAATTAATTTTAGATCCTATCAAGTATAATATGAATTTTTTATACATAACTTTTTAAAATCTTGTGTAGATTTATATTCTACATGTTTTAATTTATTATATTGTTTTACATTAGACAAGTAAATTCTGTCTATTTTTTTAATTTAACCGATGTAAAATATATATATACTTACAATTACAACACAATAGATTTTTTTTTTTTAATTTAAAGTGCAGTTTCATTCAGTGGATATTAAATATGCAGCTCAGACAGAATGTGGTTCGGTGACACTTTTAACAGCCAATTTCAATCCCAAACTCTGCACAAAAAACATTTTTGGTTAAGAAATAAGAGCTTATGTGATGCTCTGGTCTCATTTACATTCTGCCTTCACATCTACTGGATCACTGTAATTACATTTTCAGTAAACATCGACGAGATCAGAGTCTGAAAATGTGCTGAGTTGAGCTTTCATGACTTTCTAACGTTTCCTCCAACACGAGCAGCGCAGGAAGGTCGTGTTGCTGAACATCAGATGTTCCCTGCTCACGATGTGGAGAGCGCGTCGGCCGACAACCTGCCCGGACGCACACCTATTATCACCGCGCTAATTTTAATTAAAGCAATTTTCTCTTGGCAGCAGATGTCCATGTGTGTTTAAAGTGTGTGTTTGTGTGTGGAGTGGCTGCGTGGGTGTGAGTAGATACATGATATGGAGTGTGTCGTTTCCCAGGTGTGTTCATTCAAACGTGTGGGAGGTTCTGACCGGGGCCAAACAACTCATATCCGCAGAACCTTTGTTGATCTGACAGTGTATAAATGTGTCTGCGTTGGTGCAATAAAATACTCCTGGTGCAAATTTAATCTTTCCTGGTTGTGCGAGTGTGATGGTGGGCGGAGGGGCAGGTGGCCGTGACCAATCAATAAGCCTGATAATGAGATCTGAGGGGTGTCGTTATGGCGGCCCCTCGGGCGAGCGACGCCTCCTCTTCCGTAAAGAGCATCGTTGTCTGCTCTCCTCCGAGCGAACATGCACCTCATTAACCTTTGCAGCCGACACAACATCGACCAGACGCCATTTACTTTTCCCCAAACATGCTCTGTTGTCCGCGCTCACGATTAAGCAAATAAACCCTGTTTGCGCTTTGGAGGATATGCTGCCATTTGTACAAAACAAAAAAGTAGATTTTCTGTGGGGGGTTTGTTTTTCATGAAGGTTTACGAAAGTTTCTGATGAGACTCGGGCTGCATCGTTTACTCGGCGTATTCATCAGAGTGTAAAATCCTTTTCTGTACACTTTAATATTAGCAGTTGCAGCGATGCCCGCTGTCACGCTGAGCAGTGTGAGGCCTGATTATGATTGACAGCGATGGAAATTACTTTCTGAAAATA